TTTGATTTATGTGCTTTATTCATGTGAGTCCTCATGTTTAGGTTGTCTTCACTTGGACTTAAGTTCCAGGAAAATCTGGCTGCAGTAAGAACCATGATGCTTGGCCAGCAGTCTTGGTGTGGGCTATGAAGGCACTTGTGTGCTTGAGTCTCCCATAATTCAATATTTAACTGTTACACACATACAAAACACATTCTGACTGTGCTCATCTCTATAACATGTCTTTCCCCCTCCCACACCTAATCCAACATCCCGTTCTCTCTACAAATCCCTTTCCTTCATCCATGTCTTCTTGTTTTGTAACCCACTGAGTTTAAACCACACAACCATGGATTTTAAAGTACTCATTGGAGCCCAGTGGATTCACCTAGTGGGTTTGTACATACACAACTAAAGACAATAACTCTTTGAGAATCATAGACAATAGTTTTCCAAGTCAGGCTCCATGAGGCCCTTCTCACCCATGATTGACTGTTGCCAGGTCCATGCCTGAGCAGGTCTAATTCTGACAACTTAATGGCTAAATCATGCCCAGAAGGTCACATTTAAAGCCTTTCCTCCTATAATCCAGCTCTTTCATTCTTTTTTTTTTTTTTTTTTTTTTTTGGTTTTTTGAGAGACGGTTTCTCTGTAGCTTTGGAGACTGTCCTGGAACTAGCTCTTGTAGACCAGGCTGGTCTCGGAACTCACAGAGATCCTCCTGCCTCTGCATCCCGAGTGCTGGGATTAAAGGCGTGTGCTACCACTTCCCAACCTCTTCCATTCTTTCTGCCCCTCTTTTCGATGATCCATGAGTCTTATAAAGTATGGAGACAGAGTACTACATGGAGAAAATGTAGTTTGTAGTTTTCTAGCTTGTTTGGTGTGAGTGTGTGTGATTGATATTTAAATATTGGCATGGAAGATAGATTGGGGAGGGGGACAAGAGTGGGTAAAGTAAGATTAAAGGGAGAATATGTGGGTTTGAGGTATGACAAGCAGTAGAGAAAATATTCTATATTAAGGTTAGAGAAAAGGGAGACAAACACAAAAGTTTCCAATGAGATACAAGTTGCAATCTATCAACTGAACACAGAAGTGTACATTCTAAAAATTTTGTAAAGGTATATTTATAAAATTAAAAATTAATTTAAAACAATGCAAACACAAATGAGCAATGAAATGAAAAGGAAGGCGTTAGGTTCTTTATCAGTGCCTCTTCCTGGTTGGGGAAGGCCTACTCCTACTATTTCCCTAGTTCTGTCTGCCACATTTCCACACTTCCCTACTTCCTGTGATCCCCATAGTCCTTTCTGCTGTGGCAGGGATGGGGGCAGAACAATTGTGATCACTCAGCATCAGACTCCCTTGCCATGCTTTGACTCTTTTCTTCAGAGTCTGTGCAGCTCAGGGTTCGATGCTCCTATCCCGATGCTACACAATTTTCCCCATTCTGCCATGCTCTTCCCAGGTCCCAGCTGCTCCTTTCTTCCATAGAGCAATGGGGGCAGAGAGAATGATGAGCATTGTAGGTACCACAACTTTAGAGTCCCATACCTTGTCTGGGACTGTGTCTGGGTTGTTATGGGTAGATCCAAGCATGCTACATCTAGCCTCCATGGAGATCTTGCCATGGTCCAGTCACTTGATTTTCTGAACATGGAAAGAGAGTGGCATGCTGTGCTTTGGAAATCTGTCAGTTTCAGATTCCCAGTCTGCCCTTTCAGCAAAACTGTGGTTCTTTCTGGACGCTGAGGTTAGCACCTGCTTGGTTTCCTGCAGCATGAACTGTCTTTTTGAGTTCTTGCTGCACCAGATGTTCAGAATCCATGAAGGCAGGATCCAGCTTACCCCATGCTGCTTGATTTCACTGTCTTATTTCTGCTTTTGGTAGTTGTTCTGATTAGCCTTAATTGTCAGGCTAACACAAACTAGAATTATCTAAAAGGAGAAACTCCAACAGCAGAATTTCCCAGATCAGATTGGCCTGTGCCTGTGTCTGTCATATTTGTTGTTGAGTGATATGGGAAGGCTTATCCACTGGGGGCAGCAGCATCTTGATCTACACGAGAAATCTAATTGAGAGCAAGCCAGAGAGGATGCCAACAAGCAGCTTTACCCCATGGGTTTTTCTCTGCTTCCTTGGTTATGAATAAGTCCCTTCAATGTGGATTATTACCTGGGAAGTATAAGCTAAGTAAACCTTTTCCTCCTTCAAGTTGCTTTTGGTCATGACACTTGCTATACAAACTGGCAAACTGCCACAATCTTAGAGAGTCCAGATGGACCTGTTCACTAAAGGTCATCGCAGCTGGGCTTGTTGACTGTTTACCTCCCTTCTGGAAGAAACAAAGGCAGGAAAGGAGGGAGGGAGGAAGGGAGCGAGGGAGAACCATAGGGCCCTCATCTGGGCATCCAGTCACCCCTCCTAATCAGGTCTATGTGATTGTGCCTTAACTGTATATGGCCTCTGGGTCTCTGAGAGCTACAGTATGTATAGGTGGGGGAGGATGAGCAAGGGGATCCAATTATAAAGCCTGGAGGAAGCCATCATTACCTTTGGATGCAGACCCTTCAGTGTGTCAGCTTTAAGGTCACCCATGCTCTTGCTCTCCCCACACACCCCACTTCTCTGTAAGTTGAAAACTCATTGGTTCCCTTGGGGAGCTTTGGTGGAATGTTATCTCTGTTTGTCCTGGGGATCTTAGAAGAGGGTAGACTTGTCAAGGGAAGGAATTTTAGCAGTAGAAAAGTAACTAATACTGTGAGTCTCTCACATTTTTCTGTTGGCAGCTTTTTATCTTGACTTTATTCCTCCTAATCTTCTGGTCTCACAGATGTTGCTTCTGATCCATCTTGACATTGGTATCCTCGATTTGTTTCTTTGTTTGTTTAAGAAAGCATATTTAAGTTCTCTTTTCTTTTTTCAGACTTACCATTTTTTAAGTTTAGATTAGAAACAAGCTTGTTTTACATGTCAATCCCAGTTCCCTTTCCCTCCCATCCTCCCATGGCCCCCACTGGCCCCCATCCCACCCCCTTTCTGCTCCCCAGGAAAGGTTGAGGCCTTCCATGTGGGATCATCAAATTCTCTCATATCATTTGGGGCAGAGCCTAGGCCCTCCCCATGCGTCTAGGCTGAGAGAGAATCTCTCTATGGGATCCCACTAGGTATAAATACTGATCTACTACCAGAGGCTCCATAGACTGTTCAAGCCTCCTAACTGACACCCATGTTCAGGGGGTCTGGATCAGTCCTATGCTGGTTTCCTGGCTATCAGTCTGAGGTCCATGAGCTCCCCATTGCTCAGGTCAGCTGTTAATGTGTGTTTCTCCAGCCTGGTCTTGATCCCTTTGCTCATCACTCCTCCCTCTCTGCAACTGGATTCCGGGAATTCAGCTCAGTGTTTAGCTGTGGGTGTATGCTTCTGTTTCCATCACCTACTAGATGAAGGTACTAGGATGGCATGTAAGGTAGTCATCAATCTCATTATTGGGGAAGGGCATTTAAGGTAGCCTCTCCACTATTGCTTAGATTGTTAGTTGGTGTCATCCTTGTAGATCTCTGGACATTTCCCTAGTGCCAGATTTCTCTTTAAACGTATAATGGCTCCATCTGTTAAGGTATCTCTTTTCTTGCTCTCCTCTATTCTTCCTCAGACTCAATCTTCCTGCTCCCTCATGTCCTCCTACCCCCTCCTCATCTTCCCTTCTCTTTCTTTAACTCCCTCTCCCCACCCACTCACTGAACTCCCAATTGCTCAGGAGATCTTGTCCCTTTCCCCTTCTCCTGAGAACCATGTATTTCTCTCTTAGGGCCCTCCTTGTTTCCTAGCTTCTCTGGCAGTGTGGATTGTAGGTTGGTTATGTATAAAATCCATATGAGTGAATATATACCATGTTTGTCTTTTTGTGACTGGGTTACCTCACTCAGGATGGTTTCTTCTAGTTCCATCCATTTGCCTGTGAATTTCTTTTCTGCTGAGTAGTACTCCATTGTGTAACTGTACCACATTTTCTCTATTCACTCTTCAGTTGAGGGGCATCTAGGTTGCTTCCAGATTCTGGCTATTACAAATAATGCTGCTATGAACATGGCTGAACAGATGTCCTTGTTGTATGAATGTGCATCTTTTGGGTATATGCCTAAGAGTGGAATAGATGGATCTTGTGGCAGACTGATTCCCATTTTCCTGAGGAATTTTCATACTGATTTCCAAAGTGACTGTACGAATTTGCCCTCCCACCAGCAATGGAGGAGTGTTCCCCTTTCTCCACATCCTCTCCAGCATAAACTGTCATTGGTATTTTTGTGTTTAGCCATTCTGATAGGAGCAAGATGGTATCTCAGAGTTGGTTTGATTTGCATTTCTGATGGCTAAGGATGTTGAGCACTTTCTTATGTGTCTTTCAGCCATTTTAGATTACTCTATTGAGAATCTTTATTTAGTTCTGTACCCCACTTTTTAATTGGATTGTTTGGTGTTTTGGTGACTAGCTTCTTGAATTCTTAGTATATTTTAGATTTAGTGAATATCTTTTCCCATTCTGTGGCTGCCATTTTGTCTTGTTTACTGTGTCCTTTGCCTTACAGAAGCTTCTCAGTTTCAGGAGGTCCCATGTATTAATTGTTGACCTCAGTGTGTTTGCTAGTGGTGTTATGTTCAGGAAGTGGTTTCCTGTAACAATTTGTTCAATGGTACCTCCTGCTTTCTCTTCTAAGAGGTTCAGTGTGGCTGCATTTATGTTAAGAGAAATTTCTTGCTAAATTTTTCTAAAGAATTCATAAAAATAAGCTAACCATGAGAACAAAAAGCCTTGAAACCTGAAACTAAACACAGCAAAGCTGTTTCCTCCTGCAGGTTGCCCACTAAAAGGGCTGTGTCCCTAGTAAGCCAGGCTTTCCCCATAAAGTGACCTTACTTCCTGTCTGCTGATCAACATTTCTGTTCAGCCTCACAGCTAGTCTCAGAGCCAAGCATTATCAAAAAAATACAAAAAAAAAACAAACAAACAAAAAACAAAACCAAGACCTTTTCCTTTGTTCAAATTTGACCTCATCACCCTTCACCTTAGGAGATGTGCCTTCCCTCTGGGTGTGTACCGCTGAGCCTGGATAACCAGGAAGGCTCTGGGGACTCCAGTCCTCAGCATCATTGACAGTTCTATACAGGACAGACTCATTGTTGCCCATATTTCTTTCTTTTTTTCAGAATTGTAATATGAATTCCTAAATTATTATTAAATCTGTACTCAGAAAAGCTTCACTGTGTAACAGACAGCAGGTAATGCAGTCTTGTAACTTGTCAGAGTGTTGAGAATAAGTGACTGGGTATGCTCAGCCCTCACTGTGACATCTGTGCCAGCATGCTCCCCACGTTCGGAGGGCACAATGAAAGCAGCGAGGAAAACAAATGTGAGAGCAGGAGATGGAAAGGGGCATGATGAGATGGTGCCTTCAGACATGGTGTGGCTGTTGCGTCCCCGAGCTCACAACCGCGGTGATTGTTCATGTACAACCGACAGAGGATCAAGCCAGTCAAGAACTCCAGTGTGGATGGATGAGGGACTCACAGGACCTCACCCCTATCCTAGGATCTGCTGGCAGTTGACAATAGCTGGGAAGGATGGTCATTTTTCTCTGAGTGTGGCCACTGGTAGATTGCCATGTTGCATTGCATGAGCCCATACCTATGTGTCTAGAGCACGACCAATTGGATGCTGTGGGACAGAAAAGAAGATATGAAGCTAGGATACATGTTGGGAGGGTCAGGGGAAGAAGAAAGGAGGATATCAGTGGATATGAAATATATATATATATATATATACATATACATATATATCAAAGAAAACACTTTTTAAAGGGAAACTTTGCATGTGAGAACTGAGCATTCAGATAAAAATAAAAGTGAGACCCAATGGAAACATTAAATATGTAATGCGCCATAGCAGAGCACCATGTTCTCAGGAGAAATTGCCACAGCAGAGTGCTACATCTCAGTAGCCCTTCTGATTAGAGGAGAGATTGCACCTGGAAGTGTCTGAACAGCAGTTCCTAACAGAACCAGGAACATAAGATTTGCCATAAATGTTCAGATGCTAACTCAGCCAACCTCAACTTTTGTGGCTTTAAATAATGCCAGTCACTAAAATGTAATTATAGGATAATTTTCTGCTACTAGCAAACTTTCCCCTCTTATGGGCCCCTGTCTATCTTCCTGGCATCTGCCCTCTTCCTCATCGATGGTATGTCTTAGAGGAAGCTAGGGGCTAAGCATTTCCTATGACAGGGAATATTCAGTGTTTCTCTCCCCAAATCTGGACTCCCTCACTTAATATTTTCTAGTGCCATACATGTGTTTCCTTCAAATTCCATAATTCCATTTTCTTTATGGAAAAATAAAATTACACTGTGTAGATTTACCACATTTTCATTATCAATTCATTACTGGTAGACGTCTGGGCTACCAGTAGTTATGATGAATAGAGAGAGCAACAATGAACATAGATGAACAAGTGTTTCGGTAATAGGATATACTCCTTAAGACAATCGTTGTTAATAATGAGTTCCAGAACAGCCAGAACTATAGAAGAAGACCTTGTCTCAACAAAACAACAATAACAACAGAGAGGAAGACAGAAAGGAAGAGAAAGGAAGGAAGAAGGAAGGAAGGAAGGAAAGAGAAAAAAAGAAGGAAGAAAAACTATGTTAAAAAACTTCCCAGGGTAGAATACCTGCCTGGGATGTGGTGTGACTATGGGCTTTATTCTCAGCACTGAAAATTAAACCAAAACCAAAAACCTTTCTTCTACCTGGGACTTAAATCACTCTCTCTGTTCAGAATTCTCAAATTCCTCACTGATGTCTGCCATGCTGGCCTTATTATTCTACACAATTTCTCCAAATTGCTATGCTTTCCAGACCAAAGCCCTTCAAAGACTTCTTAAAATCAACCAAATAAAACCCCAGTGGTTCAGGTGATACTTGCGCCTCTTTGCAGCCTGATCCCTCTGTCTCAGTAAGGAACAAAGGGAATGGTATTCTGGGAGTTTAAGAAGACAAGGACCTCTCCTAAAGCATCCGTTGAGGTGGAAAACCTGCCAACACCTTGGTCTGAGTCCTTAGCATTCAGCGACAGACTCTGAGCTTCAGAAGTGTGGGTTTGAAAATGTATTGCTGTATCTGACAAAGTTTGTGTTATTACAGGAAATAGGAAATTAATAAATCTGCCTCTAGATATCTCAGTGCATGCCCCAACCTGGGCTGCATGCCACTCCTCTGCCAAACCCTGACCATCTACCTCATATTAGAGCCACAGTGTGCTGACTGCACATTTTTTATTTTCCTATTAAGTTGAATGTTCCTGGGCACCTTGCAAAAAAAGTACCTAGAGATGATGGGGAAGTGGAAGTGCCCCACGGAGTAAAAGGTTGGGCAAGTCCCAGGGTGAGAGAACTACTCTCAGTTCAGTACACCTCTCTCCCTAGGATTGCATCTCCAGTGCTCTAGGTAGGGCTGGACACAACAAAACAGAGTGTGTTGTACAGAAACTAGACCCTCAGGCTATAACCAGTCAGTGGGACAAATAACCAAGAGGAAAAAATCTGTACAATGGAAAGAAAAACTACCCCATGTAAGGTGGTTATTGAATTACATTTGGGTAGAGCATTTTTTAGCCCTCAGATTCCTAGGCTGTCACTGGAATAGAGTGTGAACATCTGTCCACTCCTGTTTTTGAGAAATGGACAGACACAGGCTGTAGCTTTTGTGCAAGTAGAAGGGACTATGATATGAGGCTGCAATACACAGTAACAGTTACTTCTAAGTATCAGCATGATTAGATTAATAAACAATAAACACCGAGGGCACTGGTGAGCCATACCTTTGGGTGTGACTGTTGAGGACATTTTCAGAGATGATTAGCTAAAGGATAAAGTACTGCCCTGGAAGTGAGCGGCACTGTCCCATGGGCTGGGCTCCCACATTGGACATAGCACCAGCCCTCCCATCTCTCTGGCTTCTCATCTGCCCATCTGGCCACTGTCACAGCTGTGAACTTCCTGGGCCACCACAGTGGACTGTGTTCTCAAGTCAGGAACCATAGCAAGTTCTTCCTCCCTCAAGTGGCTTTGTGTCACGTATTTGGTCACGGCCATGAGGAAAGTCAGCTAGCAAACACCCTTACACAGATTCACCGGGGTCTGAGCAGACAGGCGTCAGTGACATGAGTAGGAAACTTACTTAGGTTCAAAGGAAGAGCTGCCTGGCCACATTTTCCAAATGTCCTTTCGTTGTTCTTTGGCAATTCCATACATGTGCATAATCTATAATCTACCTTGATCCTGTCCACCCCAACTCCCTGCTCTCCCTTGCTCAGCATCTCTGAAGGGTTCCCAGCAGCGTCCTCCTGAGGCCTCATTGCTCCATGTGTGTAGATACACTAACCCCTACTTGTTTCCTGTATTGTAAAAAGTCTATGAATTGTCATTACACGAAGCACTGTAGTGGTCACTTATGATCAGCCCATCGTTTGCTGCCTTTATAAGTTCCAGATTAATAAGATTTTCTTTTAAAAATGTCTGTCTTAGATGCAGCTTGACTACCTTGTGCCATAGGAACATGATATTTGCACTGATTATAACCAAGTCAGTAATGCTGGTAATGCTCATCTCTATCTGGGTGGGCCACGAATCACCAGAGCAGATTTCGGGAGAGTTCGCTGGTTCTCATGGCCACTGTGACCCTCATTAGTATCCACCCCATTAAAAACACAAACAAGAAAATTCTGATTCTCATACAGTTGCCAGAACAACAGAAGAAACTTTAGTCTGCCCTGACCACACTGCTGCAGCTTGCAGCTGGGAATGTAATCGCTCAGTCTCCTGCCGCCATGCTTGCGGATCACTGCCATGCCTTCCACCACGATGTACTTTTAGCCCTTGGGGATTGTAAAGCAAAATAAATTCTTTCTAGCTTAAGTTGCCTTTGGTCATGTTGTTTAACCCAGTGACAGAATACTTACTACAGATGTGTGCCTTGTCTTTATAACAACAAAATATGGATGGGGGAATCAGCAGACCACAGTGATAACTTCATCGTTGTTCCCAAGAAAGGGTCCATTTTCCACTTCATACTGAGGAAGGAGCCTGTGCATATAATTTGCAGACTGTTCAGTTGCTATGCTTATCCATGTAGGGCCTTCTATTTATTTAGTGAAATCTGGAGATGGCAAAGGAGTGGTTCAATATACTGCAGCTTCTGCAGAGACAGTGAAGGCATGGGATATGAATGGGATTCTAGCCAATGAATCTGAATCACAATGGTGTATTGATCTACTAGAACCATTAAGTGTTCTATGTTCCACAATACTTCCCATTCTGCAAGAACACCATGGATTTTTAAAATTGAGAATAATAATGAAGACACACTTTCTTGAGATTTAGTTATATAAGAGACACATATATGTATATACACATACATATATACATATATATATATTTGCATTGGTGTGAGGAAGAGAAATTGACAGCAAAAGTAATTAAATTGGTATGCGAGAGAATGTGTGCTAAAGTTTGCTCGCACTAATTGGGATAGAGGTCAGCAAAGCAGTCACAGAAAGAGGATTGACAATAGTGTCCATTACTGCACAGGTTTAACACAAACAGATGTGGGAAACCAGGAAAATAATCGTGCTAATTATTTCATTAAGAGTTCATGTTCCAAAGGAGAAGCCCTTACTTCAGACTTGGGGTGCTCTATCAGGTGCCTAATATGCTTAGACACTCAACAAAACTAAGTTAACATTTTAAGGCATTGAGGAGGAAATGCATTATTCAACATTAGAAGACACATCTGTGTTTGGAGTCTGATGACTGTCTTGAATTATTTTGAAAGTGTTTTGTTTTGGTAACATATCTGAAGCATCCTCTCCCGTTCACTTTCATACCCATGTGTATTTAAGGGAGAATTTAATCTGTATGTCCCTTATTCAATTATACTTGACTCATCCCAGCATTGCTTTGTGAAAGCAATTTGAATGCCAAGAATTTTGTGTGTTTCCTAACAAACTCTGAAAGGTTTTATCCCCTGAGGAACTAAGAAAATTACTGCTTTTTTTCCACCCAAAATTCTGAGAAATTTTAAAAGAAATATGTTTATGGTTCTGTTAGTATTTAGTTGCAACTTGGGATGATAAGTGTCCAAAATGATGAGATAAATGAAATAGCACTAAATTTTGGTGTTTTCCTATCGCATAACTGTCCCCAAAGATACTGACCTTGAAATGATGTCATCGCAAGAATTTAACTTTTGATTGGCTCCCACCAATTAAACATGTGGCTTCTGCTTGCAGGGCAGACAAGTTCTGGGACACTTACTCCATTCACAATTTAACTGCCTCCCAAACCCTCCTTCCTCCTTACCATTCACCAGGGTGGCTTCTGCCCACCGTGTTGATTATTGAGCTGGGTGGGCAGTTAACTGGAATGGTGTCCTTCAAAGTCTCTTGACAGTTTGACATGGGAAATAGGGGATAAAAAGAGAGAAGAAGCAAGAGGGAGACAAAGAAGGAGAGAGGGGAGGAAGGATAAAAAGAAGGGTTTGTTTCATCTGTTTATGTGATTACTGTCTGTACTATGTAAATACAAGAACCAAAAGTAGGCATTGATACCATGGTGTGCATGGCACAGAGAAGTCAATACACCAAAACCTAGCATAGAATGAATTAAAAAATGGATGTTATGAATGTTTCTGCCCCCTGATACAGTCAGTTCATTACTAAAGCTGAGAAATTCAGTGTGCAGTATTACATTTGGATGAATAACAAAGGATGTTATTTTCCCTTCAGGAAATGGGAACTAATGTAGTAGTACTTTCTTGTTGGGACCACCAGCCTGAAAATGACATGGAGATGTATTATCAATTATGAAAGTTTGGCCTTTAGCTTAGGCTTGTCCCCAACTAGCTCTTATAACTCAAATTAACCTGCTTCTATTAATCTACTTTCTGCCATGTGGCTTTTGCCTTTCCTCAGTATTGCATATTCGACTTACTCTGAGTCTACTGGTGAAATTGCCTTTCCTCTTCCCAGAGTCCTCTCTCTTTCCTAGGCAGACCCGCCTATTCTTTCCTGCCTAGCTGTTGGCCACTTAACTCTTTATTAAACTAGTCAGAAGGCATCTTACGCAGAGACATGTCTTTATAGGATAAACAAATACTTCACAACAGACTAAGGGTTTTAGATGTATAGAATATAATTTGTTTTTTCATGTATAAAATATAATTTGTTATAAAAACATTGAGATACATTAGGCTAGATAAATTCAATGAAAGTAGTAAGATATGCATAGTATTATGAAAATATCAACCTACACAGTTGAAGGAATGATGTTCATTGGCAAAAGCTAAAATTAGCAAAACATCACAGACAGCTCCATTGAACACAGGCTGAGCCACACCCACTATTGTGCCTTCTACACCATGACAGACAAATCTCTCTGACATCATGACCCCTAAAAAACCTTCCACTCTTTAAAAAATAAATTCTATCGCTAGAAATTCCTCATGGTGTAAATGGATTGGAATTCCTGGAAAAAGAAACACAGCAAGATAAGCTGGCATAACATAATACGTCCCACTAAACCATCAACTTGCCAGGATTCTGATGATCATATGGTATGTGTTGTCTCATCTTTCAGCAAGTCACTGTGGAACCTTAGCACTGGAATAGGCTAATAGAATGGCATAAAATGTTGTTTTCACGTCCAAATATAAAGATGGCTAAGACAGACATGAATGGAGTAAGTACTGAACATTTTCTCCCGTGACTTTTTCCAGGAGAATGAAGGGGGAGTCACTACTGTGACCAGAAGCTCCAAGCAGACTGAGGTGTAAGTCAGAGAACCGTACTTGAAGGACATTCTAATAATTGATCATTGATTAATGGTACCTGAGACCTGATGGAGTAATGTGCTAAGTAAGCCAGGAGTGTGGTGGTGAAGGAAGTAAGTCAGGTATGGTGGTGCACACCTACAATAGCAGCTCCTAGGAGGCTGAGGCAGGAACAGCGTGAGTTCCAAACCACCCCAAACATGGGCCATGCCTTCTGCTGGCAGCCTATATAAGCATGGAAGAAGGAAGCCCTCACTCTTGGCTTGTTCGCCCTCACTCTCACTGGCAGGTTCACTCCTTCACCGGCATCAGAGCCTACTTCTTCAGGATTCTGACACACATTGAAGACCAGTGAGACATCAGCCTCATAGGCCAAGCAACTGTTGGAGTCTTAGGTTTTCCACTGGGAGACAACCAGTATTAGACTAGCCAGACTACAGCCTGCAAACCACTCTAATTACACACACACAAACACACAGACACACACACACAGACACACACACACAGACACACAGACACACACACACACACACACACACACACCAGTCCTAGTTCTAGAGAACCCTGACTAATACATATATACATTGTCTTTAAGCATGTGTTTCCATTGTGGAAAATTCATTAATTTGAAAGTGTAGAAGAACATTTTAGGATGTCCCCAGAATTTATTAACTCTTGAAGTCTGGATTATCAGCTATGTTGGTTTTCTTATTTATTTAGATATTTTTTTTCTGTACCTGAATTTTTGTTCTGTTTTGTCTGGTTTTAGACAGAGTCTCCCTATGTGTCCCAGGCTGGACTGGAACTCAATATCCTCTGCTTCCGTCACAGAGCAATGGTTAGGCTGCTGCCCTTAACGCAAACAAAGGTCACTATGAGTCTCATAAAGAAGAGTTAAATACACTTTATGTTCTTTCAGAAAAAGTTTCTCAAACTGTGACCTTTAGCCCCTTCCAACTGCAAATATTCTATACTTTCAAAGTATAAAAATTTATTGATCTGATATGCCTTATTTATTTACTTTTTTTACATTCCAATCCCTGTTCCTCCTCATTCCTCTCCTCCTGCTCCCTGCACCCTCCCCCACAACCTCCCATCCACTCCTGGAGAAGGTAAGGCCTCCCCTGTAAGTCTGCGAAGTCTGTCCCATCATCTCGTTGACGCAGGACCAAGGCACCTCTCCACCCCCCTCACCCCTATGTCTATGCTGGGCAAGGTATCTCTCTGTATAGAATGGGCTCCACTAAGTCAGTTTGTACATTAGTGTTCTGATATGACTTTTACAATTGTTCTAAATTCATTGGTTGAACCAGCTTCATGGGATATAATATGAACACATTTTCCCCTATGTTCCTGGCCTACACTTCTTGGCCATACTATTTTGTGGATTTACATGTAGGTCCTTGAAGACTCTCTGCCTCTGTACTAGTCAGTTCTCTAGAGTCACAGAACTTATAGAATGAATCTCTCTCTCTCTCTCTCTCTCTCTCTCTCTCTCTCTCTCTCTCTCTCTCTCTCTGTGTGTGTGTGTGTGTGTGTGTGTGTGTGTGAAATTATTCTAATGACTTACAGGCTGCGGTCCAACAATGGCTAGTTGTGAATGGAAATTCCAACAATCCAGTAATAGCTTGGTTCCACAAGGATGGCTGTCTCAGCTGCAATTCTGTATATGCTGAAATCCTTATGAAGTAGTCTCCAGTGCCAGTGATGTAAACAGATGTGCTGACAAGGCCAGGGCAAGCAGGAGAAGGACAAACACACCTCCTTCCTTCTTCCATTGTCCTTCCAGCAGAAGGTGTGGTCCAGATTAAAGGCGTGCCTTCCAGCCTTAAATTCTGCACTAAAGGCATGTGTCATCCAGCCTCAAGTTCCTATCGTCTTCATGCCTCAAGGATGGGATCACAAGTGTGCCCTCTACTTCCGGATTATAGTTCATTCCAGATAGAGCCAAGTTGACAACCAAGAACAGCCATCACAGTCCCTACCTGGATCTCTTCAGCTGTTTTCCCCTAATTCAGCAAGTGACCTCCAGTCCTCTGATCATTGAATGACTGCCCCAGGGTTTCTAGGCTGAGTCTCCAGTTTAACTACAGAGTCCCACAGTGGGAAGGGAAACATTCCCTCAGACTTACCACTAGAGGGAGCACGGGCTCTTCCCAAACAGCCTCTGTCGGCTTCTTTTTTAGATGGTTTCTTTCTGAAGCTCCTGTGGAATAGACACCATCTGCTTGGGGGCAGTCAGTCATTCAAGCCTCCCATTTGCCAGAGGGACAATCACAGCACACCAACTTAATATTATTTAATCTTCAGCTGCAAATATTTTATACTTTCAAGGTGGGAACTGGGTTAAAGACCAGTTTGTGAAAAGGAGCTCTACAAGCTCTGACCTGGTGGCCACGCCTTCACTTTGAGAATTGTCTGCGGTTTGCAGCTGGAGAAGAGGCACAGACATGGAATCATTTCAGTATTTTTCGTTACACTTCTGGAAAGAAGCGGAGGGATAGACCACAGAGGGGACTATTAGCAAGTGGTCCTCAGGCCCAGGGTGTGAGCATCCTTGCTTTAGAGAGACAGTGGATGTTGTATTTCCCCAGATACTTCCAGAGTTGGAGATAAGGAGAAGACTTTGCTACTACTCCACTTATTAGCTAAAGGATATGCAAGAGCTGCTGGGGACCAGGCCCTGGGAATCTGCGCATTTGAGGAGTCCTGAGCCTGTAGTTTACCAGGCAGCCACCTGACAGAAACTCCCAGACAAGAAGGAGCTTGCACAAACTTATACTTGTCAGAAATGATGGGCTCCTGGTTCCAGCTGGCCCTAAATCTGGCACTCTCACCCTCCAGACAATTCTTTCTGTACTGTTCTAGCTCTGCCTGGCAAACCATGGCTTAGTTTTGGTGAAAAGCAACAAAATTGGTCCAAAGTCTTATTCTGAAACATTTTTAAATGTGTTCTTCCTAAAGAGGAAAAGCATGGCAGATGAACATTGATCATGTCAGTCCTACCACCAGAGACAAGTGACCAGGCCATTCTACTGTCCTTTGAAACCAGCTGATGAGCAAAAATTTTCAACTTCTGAACTGGCCTCTTGGCTAGTTTCTTGTTGCTATTCCAGCAAACCCGCTGTGGCAGAGAGCCTTAAACTCATGATTGTGAATGCAACGGGTGTTGTCTTTGTTAACAGATGAGGATAGGACTCTGGTGGGATTTTAGTTTTACAGTGTTTGCCATGTATATGCAAGACCCTGGGTTCAGATCTCCTGCACCACAAAGCAAACACACACACACACACACACACACAGTCGAACAGTGCTTGCCTTAGAGGAATGAATGAAGTAGTCATAGAATGTGTGGCTCTGTACAGAGGACTCCCTGTTAAAAGAAGAAAGGCATGGGGTGAGACATTGCTCTCTTGAAGTTGAAGATCCGAATCATTATACTGTGTCCCTGGGAGAGCAAGACATACTCAAAGGATAGGTTGTGTCTGTCAGAGTCCTAGCCTAACTGGGGTAAATATAGGGTATCTAATGATGGACAAAAGTCCTCTAAATTGTAATGGTAGAGGTGCCGGTGTTGTCTTTTGTCTTGGAAGCTATATAGAAACAAACAGAACTGGCCATGCAGAGAGGGCTGATGAACTAATGGTGCCTCCTCCAGGAAACTCCATGGAGAAGTACAGGAAATGAAACCCCTGACTTTAGTCTCCTCCTAACCACAGCAGGAAACCAGAGGACATCTTAGCCTCCCTAGCCTCTGGATGGGAACAGAGAGTGGGGTAGGATTGCAAGGAGCAAATGGCCATCTCTAATAGGGTGAGAAAGGGTCTTTGTCTTACAGCAGGAGAAAAGGTGGCACAGGAGTGATCCAGGGTGAGGAGCGAGGGAAGCCAAGGCAACTGGGACATTAGGGCCCTGGACAGACCAGGTGGGCATAGTGCTTGAGAAACTGAGAGAATGAGCAACCAGTGAGGGTATTTTCCTGGGCTGGGCCTAAGAGAGGGGCCGTTCTTCTCTCCAAAGTGCTTAAGGGAGAGAAGCAAAGAGGTTGCTTCTTCCTCTGCCACTCCCAGGCCTGGCAGGGCATGTCTACTGGAGTACCCAGTCTCTTGTCATGGGGTTATATAGAAAGTATTTCATCACGGCTGTGCAAAGCCTTTTGTGGACAAGTTCGTAGTGCCAGAGGTCAAGAGACACCACACGCTGCAAAGAGAGCAGGCCAGAGTCGCCCTGCAGACGTGGGGGCTGTGAGGGGAACGCCTGACACGAAGGGTGTCACAGTCTGTCCACATGCCTGGAGGGCCTGAGGAAAGAATCCATCACAAGCAACTTCAAATGAGCAAGAAACAAGCCTGGCCAGACAGACATTTAAAAGGTTTAACTCAGGAAAGAACGGAGCATCCGGGATGTAATGGAAGCTCACAGTCATTAGTGGAAACTGAGGACAGCAATGTCCAGCGACAGGAGTACACACAATGTGAGAACACTTTGTATCTTGTATCATTCCTCTTTAATCAATATTCTACCCAGCAGTAAGTGTGAACTTTTAAAAATAAATTTTTAAATGACATACATCTGCTTAGCTGCTTTCCCCTAAGCTTTGCATAAAATGCAAATCCCCATCCCCATCTGTACTGCTGTTTCAATTTTTGAGACATGATGTCACTACATAGACCAGGTTGGTCTAGAACTGGCAGTAACTCTCTAGCTCATGGTCTAGAACTGGCGGTAACTCTCTATCTCATGCCTCCTAAAGGCTGGTCTTTACAGATGTGCGCCTCCAATCCCTGACTCATCACAGTCCTGATGAGCCCTGCATCCCTGTGCGCTTGCCGTCACAGCCCCTGCGTGTTTCCAGCCTCTCTTGCTGTGTTCCGTCAGTGTTCAACACTCCTCTCATAAAGTTGCCAGATCCTGACAGTGTCTAGAGCATCACACTTGTGCACCCTTCTGTCTGGGCTGCCGGACATTTCCTCCACCAGCAGACACAGAACCGAATCTTTCCCTGACTAGTCAGTTGCCCTAGCTCAGCAATCTAAAATATCAACATGTAGTTTTTGTTTAGTGGGTTATTTATTGCCTCCTGTACTAGAATATTAGTTCCATGAGTGGGACTGAGGGATAGTGCATAGGTAGATATGTGGATGGATGGATGGATGGATGGATGGATGGATGGATGGATGATGGATGGATTGATGGATGATGGTGGGTAGATAGGCGAGTGGATGGATGCTAAGTGAGTGGGTAGATACTAGGTGATAGATGGATATTCTGCTTCCTGCATAGGCAGATGGATGGATGGTGGGTAGATGGGGAGGTAGAGGTAGATGTATGTATATATGTACATATATATATATATATAGTGCATAAGTGCAGAGGTAGGGTGATGGGTGGTTGTGTCTGCCCCCAAATAGTGCTTGGTGTGTTTTTGCTGACACTAGAAAACTGCTGTTTGCATGTGATTTGTTTAGACTTTGGTCTGCTAGACATTGCTAAAAGTTTCTTGGCACTTCAAAACTCAAGAGAACCAAACAATTAGATGCAAAGCAGAAAGTGATTAGACACGGCGGGAAGGTCACATTTACCCATTCCTGAATAATTGTTCCAGAAGTAACAGCTGTTATGTTACTCATTTTAGAATTTAATGTTTGCCTCACAAAAACTTAAAGGGCAAAAGCCCATTTCCCATGAGACAGACTATAAATGACTTTCTGCATGCATGTGCTTGTATACATGTCAAAACCTCACATGCACACACACACACAACAGAAGAATCTGAGGCATATAGAATTTTACCGTGTGCTTTTGTAGGAACAGAATGTTCCCTCTTTGCAAAAGACCAAAAATTTCCAAGCAAACCTGGAAAATCTGTTTTTGTCTGAAACGTCTTAGAGCACTTTCTCAAGGATTTATGATGTCTGAGAAATTTTATACTTTGGGACACTTAAAGCCAAGATGGACAAAAGTTGGGAGTAGTTGGGAAAAATTCTTCTTCTCTATGCCATTCCATCTCCAATTTTGTCACTTAATATGGGTCTAGGAAAATGTTTTAAAAAAACCCTGAGTTACAGCAGGGTTGCCAGGCATGGTGATGTGCCTGTAATTCCAACCCTGAGAAGGTGCAGGCAAGAAGATCACAAGTTCGAAGCCATCCTGGGATGCATAACAAGAATTCATGTCAGCAACAGGAGGCAAATAAAATGAGAAAAGAATTTGCAGCAAGATGGTTGTACAAGAGACAACTTACAATAAAGCCATATATTCAGTCAGGGGACAGAAGGAAGGAAATCACATCAAAAGAAGTGGCCCTACGTGACAACAGAGACCTTGGTGCTTTGGAGAAAGGCTCTGGGTTCAAGTGAGCCCAGACCTCCAACTGTGGTCCCTGCTACCCCTTAGTCTCTGTCACCTGCCTTAAGATGGAATGATAACAGTGCACATTTTATTATGGTTGCTGTGACAACAGCTTTAGTTAACATGGAGTGTTGTTTTAGAGAAAACACAAAGGGAACCACAGGACTTTGGCCATGACAGGTCAAGCTTGGGCATGTGTGACAAGAAAATTATTTGAGCAATGCCTGTCATTTAAAAGTTTTTCTAGTAAGCCAGACATGGTAGCTCACACCTTCTATTCCCCCACTCAGGAGGCAGAGACAGGCAGCTCTCCTCTCCATTTCTTGGAGGCCAACTTGGTCTACATGGTGAGTCCCGGGCCAGGCAGAGCAAGAAAGCAAAATGAAAATTGTCTAGTGGCCACATTAAAACATGAATAGATGAAATTAATTTAAAAAATGTGTTTTATTCCATTAGGCATATCCAGAAAACTATCAACCTTGGGAGTATATAATAAACACGAATAATGGAATTAGCAAGGCGTTTTTGTTTGTTCCTTTCACGATGGTACTCAGTACCTTACATGTCCAGCCCATCTCAATTCAGATAGGTCACTTTTCATACAGAACCACGGTCTCCTGCGGCCAGTGACTACTGAATTGGACAACACAGATCTCGCATCTGTGCCCGAGTCCTTCAGTTACCCCCTCACTGCACACAGCTCCGTTTGGCAGTCACGCAGAGTCCAGCTGGAAACATCTCCACACTCTGCAGCCATTCTCATCGAAGGGAGATGACAATGCTGACACAAGGGTGAAGCGTCTTCTCGTTTGCCTCACACTGATCACGCTCTGCACACACGCTCTGTGGAGAAGGGCTTTGTTTTATCTTAGCCTTAAGGAGTCTGTTACCATTTAATGGTATGGGAGTGCATTGTCGCCTTACTCAAGAATTTGTCAAGGATCCAGAGTTAGAATTGTGCTGCACAAAACCCAGAGAAAATGTTTTCCCACTGCCTTCCTCAAGTTTAGGATTAGCTAGTCTGGGAGATTAAGGAAAAAGTGGACGTTTCTTTCACCATTAAATGTGGGTCTTGTGGATGAATGGATAACAAGTGAACGAATGGGTGGGTGGATAGTTGGCTGGCTAGCGGGCCTATTTTAACCTCATTTTCTGAAAAATTACAGGAAAAGTGAAAGTTTCCCTCTTTTGTATTCCATTTCTTTCCTATAAATGTTGGTGGGAACCAGCAGGTGGCAGTCTGATGCTTTAGATTCTGAATTCAGCCATTGGACCTGGGGAAGTTGGCAGCCCTCCCCTTACTGAGCAGAGCAGTGGTCAGTGTTTGGGGTTTTGCTTGGAGCTTATAATTACAGAAACATAGCACCGTTAACTCTGGTTTGTAATTGCTAATAAAATTCCATCTTCACTCACTTGAAATCTTTGGTTTTTATTTCTCACTTAAAATCTTGTTTGGATTGTTATTCTTTCTCACATTTTAATTTATTTATTTGTGTGTGAGGGGTATGTACGTGTCACCACAGGCATGCGGAGATAAGAGAACGATCCACAGGAGCTGGTTTATTCCTCCCTCTGCATTCTAGGATTGTTTTTTCACACTTACTTCAGTTTGTTTGTTTAGTTATTGTGTGGCTGCATGCGCCATAGCATGAGCATAGAGGTCAGAGAGCCACTGTGATAGTCTATTATCTCCCTCTACAATGTGAGTTGACAGGAAGGAACTCAGGTCATCAGAATTGGGGGCAAACACCTTTGCCTGCTGCAGCCTCTCACCAGCCCTCATATTTGCCCCTCCCACTCTGGAGATGATGCACTTGATTGTAATTGCTGAATTCACATGCACAGAGAACCGAAGTGTTTCTGCGGTGATATTTTATTTGTGATCCAACAAATAAAGCTTGCCTGAGAGTGCAAAGGTAGCCACACTAGCTAGCCATAGAGGCTAGACAGTGGTGACATACACCTTTAATCCCAGAAGCCACACTAGTTACATAGAAGCTGGGCAGTGGTGCTGCAAGCCTT